CTTTTTGTATTATTTAATTTCCTTCCGAGAATATTCGTGAGAAACCAGTTTAATAATCTCTCGTACGTACACCTAGGTTCTTTGTAAAATGACTAATACTATATTTAAATTTATACAAACATACAAACATAGACTAAAGTTTTATATTTGCATCAACGATTCTGGACCACACATGAAAACACTAATTGCAATTTCCTCCTGCTGGAAGAGGATATAGAATTTATTCATAAACATATTAATAAACTGTATTAATAATTGTTATTTTAAGATCTTGTCGGAATTATTCACTTTCTAGAAATTGCTAATTTTATGTCCAAGTCATTCTGAATAGTTTGCTACCAAAATTCAAAAAAGCATTTTGCCAAAATTAGTTTATAATTTCTGTTCTTGTAGTGTTTCTTTTCTGTGTATCAAAAGAAATCTTGCTCATTTTTTTAATGATCAAATCTCAAAAAAAGATCTTCTCTCATTCGTGTAAGTTTCTGAATTGTCGAGTTCCTGTGATCGATATTTAATTCACTCGAACGATAATATGTACATAAAACAGGATGAACGAGTTCGCCAGTCGACTTTTTGTGGCAATTAGTTTCCGGCCACTATATTATAATTGCTTGTTTTAGGTGAGACAGGGGGAGAATATACTCAATTTTATTGCAAAACTCCAATGTACCTTAAGAGACTAAAAATATATCTAAAATTAATAATTTTCTTGCGCCCCTATATTATAAAACAGCGCCACCTAATACCCACACATATCGATGTACTAGAAACATAGAGCTAGGAGTTCCACAAGGCACACTTTTTGGTACCACTTAACTTAGAAAACTTATATAGACATTGGATTCAAGTCATATAATTTTTATTGTATGAAATAGATGTTGCATATAATTAGTCATACAACAGTTTTGTATATTTTTTAGATTTTTCTATTATTAAATCATGATAGGTATACTTCTGTTCAAGATTAAATGCAGGTATTTTAACTTATTATTAAATAAAGAAGATAAATAAGCTCAAGAATATGAAGTTCCAATATTTGGATGTAATAATATTTTTTACACAACATTCATCCAAGACAGTTTTCTCTCGTTCAAATAAAAATTTAAATAACAAAGCCATAATAAAATACGCAAATCGACCATTATTATCAAATATCAAATTAAGATTCTTTTTTATCGCCTATCTATTTCCATGACAGAATTTCTAAATCTGCTTTCTTAATCGATAAAACACATTTAATTTGTCAGGTGAAAACGATATTGTTTTCTTTATTTAATATGAAGCACGTTTTTACTTTCTACGAAACGCCTCGGGCTCAAATTTAGTTTGTTATGAGAATTATCGATTGTTTATCGATAAAATCGATACCGTATAAGGAAGGTTCGATAATATTATATCGATGGGAACAAAATAATAGTGTGAGATTCTAAAAACTAAAAATTCCACCATAAAATAATTATGAAGTTTCTCTAAAACCTTTACAGCAGTTATCAATGATTTCAATTTAAATATGAGAGAAAAATAGTTGTTTAAGAAGTTTCAAATTAAATTCCTCAAGAAAAAATTAAACTTGTGGTGTATGGCAACGTGCCTCAAGGCAAACTGCTGGAACTTCCTGTACCTTAATGAAATATTCGAGGAATATTAAATGTATTCAAATAGATTATTATAATTATTTAAAGTATTACAAGTGATATTTACAACTTTAGCTAGAATTAGAATTAAAATCCGAATTCAAAAAAAACATTTTTTGAAAAAAAATCGTTTACCAAGAGCAATCGTTTAGTCAACACAAGCAGAAAGTTTTTTAATTTTCCGAAATGGCTGGACCTGCCTTTTCCAAAATCTAATCACCACTTCTACCCATCATTAAGAATCGGATATTTTTTGGATCAATCAAATCGGTTTCATCCACATCTACTTTTTCTGACTAGGTATGCCAAAATGTTCAGAAACCTCTGAAACGTGAAGATATGCAAAAATTGTGCAATTTCGATTTCTGGACGATTACAATAACTTACCCGGGAAGTTAATAATACATTCCTGTTTTTTTTTTTGAAAAAATTGTAGTATATAGTTTTCAACTGACAAAATTGACTAATTTTAAATTAAACATTAATTTTTATTATTTCTTCAATGAAGAAGCAATGCAGTGAAATTACAATACTGCATTATAAATAATTTTGCTCAGTTTTGTTAAAAAAAAATAACTAGTTTGAATTCAAATCGATACAATATTTGTTACTTATTAATAATATTCTATGCATTTTCGATTTGTCAGAAAACAATTTAATTAAATATTTTTTATTGTTCTGAATGTTTGAAGCTAATGGTTTTGTCCAGAAACTGTTTTTCAAATATTTTTAAAATACTCGACAAAAAAAGAAATTAATTTGTTTATTTGACGCTCGTGACAAGTATTTTTATACGGCATGTATTTGCACAATAAATAATTTAATATTTAAATAAACATTAGACACATGTCTCTTTAATATTTGCTTAAACAATTCGCGGAAAAAGTCTTAAATTTCTTCTGAAGAACGTAGAAGCTCATAAACACACAAAATTTTGCAAAATTAATTTCATTAATATATTTATTAAACATTATATTTCTCAAAGGGCAAATATGTAGTATTATTTAATTTTATTTATTTTTGCACTTTTTTGACAGTAGTATGATTCGATACAAAAGTATTGAACCAATTTTGAAAATTTAAAAACCGTTTAAATTTTAACTCATGCTGATTAGTTTTTGCTAAAGATTGGTTGGGCCATTTTGAAATTAATTATTAAACATTTTCTTAGCCACAGAGTTTATATAACAAATATTATAGTCTTAATGGATATTTCAAAACATTTGTTGTCCTATAGTTGAGCCATAAAATTTCATTAAAGATTGGAATAATGATCAGAGCGTTTAGGGCATATAATGTACTAAAATTAATGAAATTGCATATATTAAATGTTAAAAAATATCAATTGGAAATCGCATTAATTGGTTTTATAAATAAAGTGTAAAATTGCGAAAAAACGTGAGAGAATTATCTATGCAAGAGACGGAAACTGGAAGAAACTTATTTAATCTTCTCTGAAGAGAGGATATTGATATCCAGCAAATAAACAAAAAAAAACGGGTAACGTGAGCTGATTATTTTTTACGTTAAAATTTTTATAAATTTGTATCATCTTCAGAAAAAATTGCTATTTGCAGAAAAATATTGCAAGGGAAAAATATATAGAAAATGTTCTAAGTCTAAGTTTAACTAAGTTTTTTTTGAATAATATTCTGAAAATTTAAACCACTGTGATATATTTAACAATATTTTATTAAAAAAATTAGTTCATGGTGATATATCAATCTGCTAAATTATTTTTCCGCTTGTTAAATTCAATAATAGTACACCGAATAATATATAATTAAATTCTTTCGTGACAGTTTGAGAGCAAAGTAATTGAAAGAAATAATAAATATAATTTATATATTTATTTAATTCATAATTTAAAGAATAGAAATTTAATATCGTAGAAATAAAATATAGTTACGAATTAGCCTTTAATAAAACTCAATTTTTTAAAATTATTTCACTTATTTGGTTCTTAATTAAAAATAGATTTTGGGAATTTTATCGGTATATTATATATTAAATAATAATTGTAAAATTCATAAATCGATAAAAATTGTATATGTGAAATATTAAAATTGCATAATATGATATAAAATATATGAAATTTTCAAATTGAATATTTGATATAAAAATTGCATATATTTAAAATGATCTATGAAATAATTGATTTAATTAAGTGTTCTAGAATTTTATATTCTAATTTGCCAAATAATTTCAAATCGTGTACAACATTATATAGTTTTCTATATTTTCTTATATTAAATTGATTGTTCTTGGAATATATTAAATTTGTATTCAAAATTCAATATAATAATATTTCATTACGAATGAAACATATTAAAATTAAATTATTTTTAAATATATAATACATTTACTACTTAATGTTGAAAACTAATATGGCCACATAGAATTTGATTAAAATATTAAGATTATATTTATATATTATATTCATTATTCAATTGCATTTACTACATTTTATTATTTGTATTTTTCAATACTAAACAATAAAAAATAAATTTTAACGCAAAATAATCGACAGTAAAATTGTTTTATCAAAAAATTAAAATGCATATTTTACTTAAAAAATCAAATAAAGAAAATAGATTTTAAAAATAGTACTTATTATAAACAGAAAAAGATCTAATTTTGACTTTATTATAAATTTTATTATGAAAAAAAAACAGATTATTTTTAAATGTATACTATTTAATGTTGAAAATTAATAGGGCCACATATAGTTTTATTTACTGCGTATTATTGTACTTATTTTTTAATAGTGGACTGTTTAATTAAAATGATGCAAAATAATCGATAAGTAAATTTTTTTAATATATAAAATGTGCAATATAAAATATATTATATTGCACATTATTCTTAAAAAATCAAATGATAAAAATAGTTCTAAATTGAAATAGTACTTTTTACAAAAACAGTAAAATCTAATTTTGTCTTCGGTTCGGAATAACATAATTATAAATTATGAAAAATATAAACAAACTAGTGAGCCAAATAACTGCTTGGAAATTAATTTTTACTGAAAAATTAATTTTTAATCTGGGATGAGAACACACTTAATTTTTCTTTCAAGCTAAAAGTGATCCCTAGTTGAAAATGTAAATAGGTATTCTATATATTTTAATTATTATAATTTAATAATAGGTTTTATTTAACACTATTTATTTTTCTTTGATTTTTCTCACAAGTAATAAATTTCATAAGAAATTAATAATATCAATACAAATAATATATATATATGAAAAAATATTATATAATATTGATATATTAATTATTCTAAATGTTATTAACAATATTTTACCCAAAACTATATATATACATATATTTATAAATTATAAAATATAAAATTTATAAACATACCTGACTCTGCAAAAAGAGCAACAATTATTCCTCTTGTATTGTTTTTTCAATTAAATCAAACACAACACATACCAAAAGTTTTAAATCTCGACTAAATTAATTTATAATTTCTAATAACTAAAACCACTGTATATTAATATTATATAAAATTATTTAATACACTAAAATTGTAAATTTATCTTTAAAATCTAGAATTTATCTCACTATACATTTATTTTATTTCATTTAATTTTTTTACATTTAATTTTACCATGACGACGCGCGCGGTTCGAAATTCGAACATAAACTGTTTTTGATAAAGTTTTCGATGTACCTGATAGGGAACGGTATGCCATAGAGCACCTGGGAGGGGATAGCCTAGTCTAGGTATATGCCTGAATTGGGATAGAAATAAGCCTGATGAACAGGCAAATGAAACCACTACAAGGTGTAAAAAATGCCTGAAATCCATGCTAGTTTTAAAATATAATTATAGACCAGGGGTTTCTAAACTTTTGATCTTCGCGATCCCATTTATGATTGCTAGTTTCTTGACGAACTCGCACATATAAAAAAAATTTAAATGATTTGTATATTTAGTAACAATATACATATACATATGAAAATATATAGTTTAAGAATTTGTTGAGAACATAAATTAATCAAGACGTCATGTTAAAAAAAGAGTGCGCGTAAGGTTCACACGCAATTGAAGTAAAACTTATATGCTATTGTTCAAGATGGCAGTTAAGTAAAAATAAATTCATCATATAACAATTTTGAATAATGTTTATTAGTAATATGGTAACACTCGTGATGCACGCATTTATTAGTGTCAACCATTATACACATTTATATAATGATAAATTATAAATTATATATATATATCTTATATATAAAATTCTTCTGTAACAATGTAAGTTTCATATTTCCTTCTAAACTATAATTCGGATTTTCATGAATCTTCCTGAAGTTTGTTCGGGAAATTTTTTAGAATGTTTTGATTCATAGAAATATAGTTAAATTGTAGAAATAAATAGAAAAAATTACTAAAAACCGCTTATCATTGTTTGCCCTTGAGAATATTTGAAGCTTAGTTTGACATTAAAAACAATTGAGGACTGTCATTTGCCAAACATTTCTATTCACTTATAGGCTAAGGCAATATTAGAATATAATAAATTCATAATTATGAATAAGGAAAATGTAATGTCTACATTATTAATGCCGAAAAGCAGCTGAGATGTGCCAAAAATTAAATTAATATAAGATGCAAATAATATAACATGCATTTGACAAGTGATGCAGTCTGCGCATGCGTCTGACGTGCGCGTGGTTTGCTTTTGCTTGCAATAATTTTGTTTGCGCACTTTGCGAACAGATTCGCCGTACGAATTCGCGCAAAGGAGCGAGCCATAAGTGATTGCGCTCAAACATATTCAATTTGCAGTCGTTTTGCCTTACTATACTAAGTCACAATACAAAAAAATTATTTAAAAGTTTCATTGTGTCAAAATTCATATGTTTGTCATTGGGTACGGAATATTTACTCAATGGAGCGCTTTGGGTCTGAAATTTTTACTATTTTCCAATTCGTTTGGAATTTTGGAACTAGGTTCATCTTACTCTTCAGAAGTGAAAACAATTTAGACTCCTTTACCACTTCTCGGGTGGATGACATTTCTTTTCAGTGGTGTAATTTTACTTTTTTCAAAATAACGTTGGGTATCGATAAAAGAACTAATTATACGAGAAAAATATTTAATAATATTTTTCAAAAAAGGAAATACTTTTCAAGTTACTGGCTACTGAATATTTGTTTCTTTTTTGCGTTTTTCATCATTTGTTGCTAACACCTTCAAAAATATACATTTTAACGAAAATCATGTAATGAACAGAATTATATCAATTAAAATCTTAATAAATCGTTATTTTATAGTGTTTTAGGAACATTATTAGGCTAGATATGAAAATGGGTTTTTATAGTGCTCAAAATAAGCTTTAAAATGAGTATTTCTGCGTGTAAAATGAGTGAGCTATCATGCATATAAAGGACGCATGCAATGTTTTTTTTTCATTTAAATCAAATACTTTGAGTGCCATATCCACCAAAATTAAAAATAATCGTATTCAATCTAGAATTAACTTGGTTTAAGAGATCTTGATGGATTCTAGAAAATACCACAACTTTAGTACAAATGATTCTTAAAAAACTCATGATTTCATGAAAAAAAAACATTTAAAAAAAAACAACCAATTTCTCATCATAATACCTCTGAAAGAATACGTATAAAAGTATATATATAAGAAAATTCGAGGTATTTTTTCTGACTAATTATTATTGTTTATTATTTTTTCGTTACACAAATATTGATAGATGTATGATTAATTAAGGAGCTGTCCAACCAGAGGTCTTTCGAGCCCTTTAACCCTTCGCCGTTTTACAATAAGAGAAGTTACGGTAAAATTAATGATAGAGAAAGTTGTAGCTCATTTAATCACCTTTAAAATAGTGTATTACAAGTTCTGATAAAATCAGAATTAAAAGAGTAATAATCCAATTAATGCTGTGGATGGTGACGGAGTGCAAATTGTTAAAACATTGAAATTAAGATAAAGATTAGCCTATTTCCAAAATATCAAGTAAATTGGAGCACAGTAAAAAAAATTTACAGAGCAATAATTTTGTTGATCGTAAGTTGAATAGAGCACATGTGAACAGGATTTGACAAATTAATTCACTTCAAATATAAACTTAAGCAATAATGTATATTGATTTATTAGAGAAAAAATGCAATTTAGATATTAAAATTACTTAAAGCCAGTTAAAATATGGTACAAAATTATAAAAATTATAGGCAACATTATTGAAGCAATTATTTTGGGTGAGAAAAATAAAAGGTGATATTGCACCTTTGCCGCGAATGCTATATATTAATTCTTTCTGAATGTGTTGTACTTTTTAAAAGATTTAAATTTTCAACATGAGTATCTTATGCTATGACCATAAATCAAAAAGGCAGACGATCATTTTTAGTGTGATAAATTTGGAAAATCAATGTTTTAGTCGTGAATAAACAAAAAATCATTCATTTATACATCCACATCTACAGGTATGGCTAAAAATACTATATAACCCTTAAATGCAATAAAATAAATTGAGCTATTGGAAATAAATTTGTTCTATAAATCGCAGTGTATAATTTTTAATATACAATTTTATTGAACATTTTTTAATATTTGTTAAATAAATAATTAAAGTGTTAACTGTGGAAATTGAGAACAATCATTTTATTTGAAACAGTTCTACATTCAACATCACTTATATATTGGTGTAAATAGTAATTCAAAAAACAGTAATTATTATTTTTAACTAAGCAGTAAATATTAGTATAAAATATTGAAAAATTGTAGACGTAGGTACAGAACACGTCTGTCGGGTCAGCTAGTATATATATAATAGCATTAAGAATGTGTATAATATTTAAAAACAATAATGTAATTAAAGTCATATTTCAAATACGACATGATCGGTTTGTCATTGTAATTAGCATTTAGAAAAAAACCTTTATTAGAGAAATGAAGTAATTGCTGATTAATAATTCTATAATATTCGTTCACACAGTGGATTATGTTAAACAACGCCTAAACAAATAGTGTTTGAAAAACTTCATGTAATTAAAATTAACATACATTCATTGACTGATGGTATTTTTTTTTACTTTTTCGCTGGCGATATAATCTTATTCTTTGAACATTTTTATCAAATTTTTATCCAAAAATTGTTTTTTGCTCATCAATTTTTTTTTTAATAATAGTTAGAACTAATATTACTGAATATTTCTAATAATTATTTCATGGAGTACAATTTTGATTTCATGAGCAGCACTTATTTTAACATAACATTTTATTTTATTATTATTTAGTTCGACGTTGAGACATACTTGAATGTTGATTTTTAGGCAATCGTCGAAATAAAAGAAAACAATTAATAAATAAAATATTTATTTATACCTTTCGACACGGATTGCGTGTCATCATTCAGCAACCCTTTTTGAATTTTGGTTATACAGTATCTAACTGAATGTTTACAAAATTAAAAAAAAAATAAATTAAAATATTTTATAGATTAAAAGATAAAATGACAAGTAAAAAACTGATACATACCACACCAGAAAAAACAATAACCATTTTTTTATATATATTTATTATAAATATATATAATTATAAATATATATTATTTATATATTTACACATATTTTTATTATAAAAAAATTTAATCTATTTTTGTTCTATCGGCAATAGTATATTTTATTATTTTTTAGGCAATTTGGTAATCATATAACTAATAACATTATTTTATTATTTAACATTTATATTATCATTTTATTATATTTAAAGTTTTGATTGTATAATTGAAAAATGTCTTTAAATTTGCCGGTAGTGTTACCTCATGGTTTGAATTTGTTAACGTACTGAATGATGACACGCATACAATGTCGAAACGTACATGATAAATTATTAAATTATTTATTGCTTTTTATTTGATAATTTGGGTGCAAAAAATCTAAAATTTACATCTTATTTATAAATTTCTTCTGTACGGATGTATAATTTGATACTTCTTCTAAACGGTTATTCGGATTTGATAAATCTTTCTAGAGTTTGTCAAAGGAAATTTTTAAGATTTAATGAACGATAAAACTACAGAAATATTGTAGAAATAAGTGGCAAAAATTACAAATAATACTTATCATTGTTTGACATTGAAAACATTTGAACTGACATCTACTAGAAATGCCAATTCACTTGAAATTTGAATTTAGCTGAGCCTAGATAATATTAGAATATAATATACAAGAAAAATGTAATGTCTACATTATTATTGCCGAAAAGCAGCTGAGATGTGCCAGAAATTAAAATAATATAAGATACAGTCAACAGTTTATGTTTGGTAGATCAATTCATCAATATTTATCTCAGCAACTAATCGTATCCCAATACACTCCATCTCCAACAGATGTCACCTCCAATTTCTATCTCACCTTCCAAATTTCATTTCCTTTAAACCTGTTCGATTGAGTAATTCGAATTTCATTATCAAACGACAG